GAAGGTAGGATTGGGAGGGAATGAGGGAGCTGGATTCAGCTGGAATACAGAGTTAATAAAATGTAACTAATAAAAATTTAAAAGAAGGCTGTCGAGCAACCAGAACCTATAGTTTACATTGATGGCAAGAAACATTAAAGTTTGAATCTTGTATAAAAATATTAATATTTCCAAATAACAAAGCATAAGGAAAATTTACATAGGCAATTATAGGGCCTCCCAAGGGTTTCTGTGGCAAGCTTCCAAATTTAGGTCTGCCGAAAACCAGAATCAGACCAAAGTCCCATAGTCAATTCTCTTTTTCATTCTTCCTGATTTTTTTGAAATTGTTTTGATTACCAGACCATTCAAGCCCTATGACATTGTATCTAAAAAGTTTCTCTGCACAACATCTTCTCCCAAGAGCAGAATAAGACAAAGGTGGGTCAGGAGCATATGCTGAATAGAGCTCTCCCTTCACCATCAGGACAGAATTCACCATGGTCAGCAGCAGGAACATCCTCCTTCTGGTTAACATCTGCAAATTGCACCACCCTTTCTGGATCTACCTGGCTCCTTCTGCATCCTGCAGAAAAACACAAACATGCCCTCTTCACCATATTAATACAGGGTCAGGGCCCTGCCATATTCCAGCAATTGGATCTTTCCATTTCACTTTGAAATATATCTTTGGTATTAGGGTACCACTATCTATCAGCCACAGCCTTGTATATCCACATTCAAAAAGTATGAAATAAAGAGAGCATGATTAAGATTTGGGGATATGACTCCCCATTTTTTATTTTTTTGCAGATTTTTTAAACATATCCAATGACCAATAATCAATAAACAAGACATATTGAATATGGTAAACTTATACAGACAAAACACTTTCCTATTTGTTGAAACTGATTTTTATGACCACAGAAGTTTTCTGGCAGAATTAACCATTTGCTTTCCTATTGGAAAAACTGAGAAGTTGCTTTTTTTTTTTTTTCCCTAGCTCCAGTGATTTTAGCTGTTGCTTGACACTGCTCAGCAAATTTTAACTTCCCCAATAAATGATATTCTTCGGCTAAACATCCTCTTGCTAATTGCTTACAGTCCTTCAGCCAGAGGGCCTCAGTAGATAAGGACTCTAAAGAGCTTGAGTAAATAGTCCTGTAGGACCATACTGAGGAGATGCAATTTTTTTCTTTCCATGTGATTTTTTAAAATTAATTACACTTAATTTACTTTGTATCTCCCCTGTAGTTCCCTCCCTCTTCCCCTCCCAATTCTTCCCTTCCTTGTCCTTCTTCACACACGCCCCTCCCCAAGTCCACCCTACGGGAGGTCTTCTTATTTTTCTTTCTAGTTATTTTTCCTAATAGATCCTAGTCTGTTAGGTCTCATCAGGAGTGGTTGCATTGTCTTCCTCTGTGGCCTGGTAAGGCTGCTCCCTCCTCAGGGGGAGGTGATCAAAGAACAGGCCAATCAGTTCATGTCAGTGACAGTCCCTGTTCCCACTACTATGGAACCCCCTAGGAGACTGAACTGTCATGGGCTACATCTGTGCAGGGGTTCTGGGTTATCTCCATGTATGATACTTGGTTGGACTATCAGTCTCAGGGAAGACCCATGTGCCTTAATTTTTTGGATCTGTTGCTCTCCTTGTGGAGCTCATGTTCCCTCCAGGTCTTACTAACTCCCACTTCTTTCATAAGATTCCCTGCAATCTCCTCAAACGTTGGCCATAAGTCTCAGCATCTCCTTTCATAGTTTTCAGGGCAGAACCTTTCAGAGGCTCTCTGTGGAAGGCTCTTAACTTGTTCCGTTTTCTCCTTCTTCTGCTGTCTATCCTCTTTGCATTTCTAAATGGGGACTGAACATTTGAGCCAGAGTTCTCCCTCTTGATTGGTTTCTTTATGTGTACAGATTTTAGTAGGTTTATCCTATATTATGTCTATATGAGTGACTATACCATGTGTGTCTTTCTGGGATAGCTCACTCAGGATGATCTTTTCCAGTTCCCACCATTTACCTGCAAATTTCATGATTTCCTTTTTTTTTTATCACTGAGTAGTATTCCATTGTGTAGATATGCCATACTTTCTCTATCCATTCCTCAGTTGAGGGGCATCTTGGTTGTTTCCAGCTTCTAGCTATTACAAATAAAGCTGCTACAAACATGGTTGAGCAAATATCCTTATTGTGTACTTGAGCCTCTTTTGGATATATGCCTAGAAGTGGTATGGCTAGATCTTAAGGAAGAGCTATTCCTAATTATCTGAGAAATTGCCAGCTTGATTTCCAGAGGGGTTGTACAAGTTTACATTCCATTCAGCAGTGGAGGAGGGTTTCCGTTTCTCCACAACATCTCCATCTTCGGTTCAATTTTTTTAATTGTTTAAAAGTTAGAGGACCATGGATTCTCACCACATTACTCTGTCCATCAGATCGCTCTAGAACTGGAAAACCATAAAACTCAGTTATATCTTCTACTTTCTGCCTACCTTGTTGCTACAAAGAAGCTTGTAAAGGGGATACAGTTGCACATCCAGTGAACAAATGAAAAAGTCCCTTTGTCTTTTGTGTTAAAGCAACTGTAGCTGTCCCAAGAGAAGGGGCCAAACATACAATGAGGGAGTTGGGGTGGGGGATTGAGCCTCATTTTCCCTAGTACTTAATTTTCCAATTTTTCTGTTTATTTTCTCCAAGCCCCATTCAAACTTTTTTTTATTTCTGTTAGCCAAGGCTTAAGATTTTTTTAACACTCATACCTGAATTAGAGGGTATCTCTCAGAATAATACTTAGCTGTTTCTTCCTCCAGCTCTGCAACCTCATCAGGATCTAAGTCATCCTCAAAGTCTTTTACTAACAAAAATTATTATCATTAGCAGGGACATGAAACTCTTTGAGAGGAGCCAATGGTTTAATCTCTTTTTGTCTTGAAGCCTCCCATTTTTCTTTCCTCTTTCTCTCTAACCCTGAAAGTTTTACTTTCTCAGGTCCATTCCACTTATACATACTATTCCTAATTAAATTCAATGCAAAAACATGAGACTACTGTTCTTGTTCCATTTCACTCTTGATTTTTACTCACAGTGCCCTTTTCTCTTTACTTTACAATCCAAATTCTCCAAAAGCAGTGCTGTCCTTCACTGCTTCCCTGTATCTTAAGGTCCCTGTCCATGCACAAAAATTCTGGAGCTTGTCTGCAGAGTTGAACACTTTACTGAGTGCAGAGTGAGGACTGAAAGAAAATTAAAAAAAAAAAAAACTAACACACTACACATGGGATCAGTTAGAGAGGGCTGCCAGTAGAAACTATCAGATAGGTTTATTCCACAATCCCTTTTGATTGTCAGAGCAAAGCACCTTGATACAATAAAGGGATTCATGGAGAAGTCAAACTTGTTTACCTCAACCAACTATCTGTGTGATCCTCACACAAACAAAAGGAAGTGGACTTGGCAAAACATCCTGCCTATCCCTGTCTCCAGGTGAACACCAGTGTGAAAACAGGTTTTTTTTTCTGAGCTCAATAACAAAGCAGCCTGACAAACAAGTGGCTCTTCACACACACATACATATAAATGTTTCCAAAATATTTTTAATGTAATCTTTAAAGTGAACCTTAAGTACTAACCAATCCAGGTTTCTACTGCCAATGCATGATGTCCTGTGAGAGTTCATCTAAATCCCAACTGGACTGTGGAGTCTTAGCTGCAGTCTTTGCTCTATTAACACAGAAAGTACTTCTTTGGATATTCATCTTCAATGCTGATCCTAATTTGATCTTTTTTTCTTAATCTTTGCTGTAATGATTTTGGCAGAAAACATGTTTTCACATAATTAATGACAGGTTTTACCTAACTAATTTTACTCTATACATTATTGCCTTGATATACTCTGTGCTTTCCTTACTCATTTTGAGAGGAATGTATTATCTGTATGAGTAGGATGGGAGAGATGTTAGAAAGGTAGAAATGCATAGAATAATTTTTAATAACCCAGAAATGAAAAATTACAAAAAACTGAAAAAATTTGAGGGAAAAATGGGTGGCTGAATAGTCCATCTATCCTAGGTAGTTGTTTTCATTTTGTTAATAAGATAAACGAAGATATGTAAAAGTATATTCAGTTTTGGTTTTGAAATATGTTTCCTTTCTCACTGTCATTGAATTATTTCTCAAATGTAATGTACTTGAGTATGATCACTACTTTTCTTTCTGATTTGAAATTAGACATTATATATAATTTTATAGATAGAATTCTTAATAATGCCGGATTTGTTATTTTCTTTGGCACTTTTGCTGGGCATTCTTTCTCAACTTTCATTATTGCAGTACCATGTTCTTATGAGCTTTGCAGTTAAAGGACAATTCATGGGATGAAAGAGTTTTACTATATTTTCATGTTCACTGTTTGTAGACATTAAGATTTCATTTTAGACCATGGTTGAGTCTTCTATAGAGTTGGATAACTCATGCTTTGTCCTCAGTAGTATATGATGCTCTCATAAAATAGTCACTATTATTTTATATATATATATATATATAACACTATTATTTTCTTAGAAGTGGGGGACAGCAGTTTGGGGATATAACAACCTCATCTTTATATATTAGTGATATAAGTAAAGTCAAAGCCAGGGGCTACTTAAAATACTTAAACTTAAAACGGATGCTTTACCTTTATGTTAGCTTTTCCATATTAGAGATATGTTTGTCAATATAGAGTTAGTGATGTCATACTGGAGGAGAAATGAAAATATGCGAGTGACTCTTGGTGAGAGATGCTAAATACCTCACACATGTAAGGAAATATCTGATCCAACATGTCAGTAGTAGTGCCCTCTAAAAGTTCTGTTTCCAACCATTTCCATTCCATGGATTGTACACAAATGTGTAAAGAAGTCAGTTATTCATATGATGGGGGGGGAGAGTGGAATATTGAAGGGAATTTAGAGGAAATTATGGCCTAACAACATGAATAGCACTATTTTTAAAGGAGACATGATACGGCAAGAGTCCTTTTAACAAATGATTTCACAGCTGTTGCTTTGGGGAGTTTTTGTCTCACTTCCTCTATGGTTTGCATCACTGTGAATATAGCTACTATCATAAGATTGACAGTAGTAGTCAGCCTCATCCTCAGCCTGCACGTTACTGATGGTCAGAGAGGCTGAGTTGGAGGAGCTGTCAATGGAGCCAGAGAATCGATCAGGAATCTCGGATGGTCTGTTGTTATTATCATAGATTACATTGGTGGGGGATCTTCCCAAGTGCTGCTGGTACCAGTGCACATAGCTGCTTCCAATGTTTCCACTGCTGCGCTGGCAAGAGATGGTGACTTTGCTTCCTAGAGACCCTGACACAGAGTTTGGCTGAGTCAGTACAAACTGACCACATGACCCTGTAAGAAGAAAATAATAAAAGTCAGTAAGAACAAAGCAACCCATTCACAGATAAGCCTATGCACCAAACATCCAAAGCTATAAGTAGTTACTCTCCCAGAATTCCTTCAGTCAACTCACCTGCTAAGTAATAAAGGAAGACAAGGAGTAGTGGAGCCAGAGTCATGGTGAAAACACTCAGATTCGGCTTCCTGAATCCAGTGGACAAGCTATAGCTCAACACCCCTTCTTATCTGTCTCTGAGATTCTAGTTGCATGCAGGCTGTATGCAAATACCCCTCTTCCGGTAATGATCAAGTCTCTACTTTTATTTCAGACTGAGTCTGACTGACAAATAGAGAGACTGCTTATGATGTAGATATGGTCATCATCAAAGGAAAGGACAGAAAAGCTGAAAATGAAGGGAACAGAAGAGGAGTGGGGAGCTTGGCCATGACTCCTAATGCAACCAAGTCTTGTTACCTGGTATGTGACTGCTAGGCTCATAACTGCCAACAGTGAGACCATTTGGACCTCACATAGCCATTTTCTGGAGTCTGAGTGGAACATAAATTGTCCTTTAATAAAATTCTGTCAATGTCAACTAAAGCAGTGTGTAACCGAGTTTACTTTTGCATAGAGAATCAGTGACCAGTTTGAGAATAACTGTCTTCCTTTGATATAAAAGTCCTGTAGTTGTAATTGTGGCCATTTCTAGGTAAGAATTTACTCAAGATTGTAGTTAAGAGTTTACCTCAGCACTTAAGTGTTCTTGCTGTTCCTGTACAGTATGTGAGTTTGGTTTTCAGCATCCATGTCAGACAGATCAGAACCTCCTCTGATTATAGCTCTATGGCATTGGATGTCCTATTTAAGCCTCCTCAGACATCCAGATTCATTAGCTTACACACACACACACACACACACACACACACACATATACACACACACACTGTCAAGATATCAAATAACTACCATCTACCACATATTAGGTCTGAAGAAACAATGAAAATAAAGAAGCTGAAATCTTCATGAAATCATATATTCTAAGTAAATCCCTTCTCAAACAGCTGTGTATTTGTAACATTGGAAGAATGAAGCAATGGAGAAGATATCAAATTGTATATATTGAGACTAGGTTATTAAAATTGAAAATACTTTTGAGTCATTTTTCTATGCGAAGTAGGTACTGTCCAAGAAGTTATGAATTTTTTTGTTACTATAAATATTTTACTGACCAATGACTCTATTGAGATGAAAGACAAAGTATAAAACAGAATTTTGAGTTTACTTTGCATGTGGCCAATTGGACCTAGGAGCAGGAAGGATCCCAGTGCCGCTCTTGGGTAATAATTCTCAGTGGCATCACTACCTGTGTTAGTGTGGGGAAGGAAGTAGTGATTTATGAATGACTTGGTCTTGCAGCAGCTTTGTTTTCTCAAAAGCAACCCATCACTGCCCTCTAATGGGCATAAGCATTTCCAAGAGAAATACTGGGGAGTGAAACTTTTTCTTCCAGGGAAGCAATTGAAAGAGTTTTAAAGGAACGTGGGTAGGCAAGGAAAACAAAAACAGGCCTCCTGAGATGGCCTCTTCCTGTTGCTAGAATACTCTTTGAGAAGAAATAGCTAAAAGGCACAAAAGTACATATTAACACATAACTAATAGGGAGAAGGGGAGGAAACGGTAGCTCAAAAAAATTACCCAAGTGAACATCTAGCACCTGCTTAACAGACTTCCTTTCTTCTCCCATTCTGAATTCCATTCTCCACTACTTGGTTCTATATTTCCCAATCATTCAGGTTTTTTCCCTCCAGGGCAGAAAATAATTCCCTGCAATTTTCCAACACCCCAGTTAAATTTCTTCAGGTCTCTCACCTAGGATTTGACATGATCTTTTCTCAAGCTGATATGCCTAACTGAAAATCACAGAGAAGAACTTAGAATCATTCATGATGCAAGAGGTACTTGGAGGCCATCTTCCTTACTAAGTAATACTTCTGCACAACTACAGGTTTGGATTCTCAGTTATACCTGACATCCATTGATTATATAGAGAGCAGGTGCTTGGACTCTGAATGAGCACGATGGAAGGTGGTTTTAACCTTGAGAACCAGGACAAAGGCTGTGTACCTAATTTCAGCCAAGATACATGGTAAATAGCACTCCCAAGGAAATTATAAGCTTGGGAGGAGAAAGACTGGGAGATGCATATTTTGTACTCAATGACTTTGGGAGTGATCCACAGTAATGTTACTCTTCTTGTCATAGCTTCTGCATTTCACCCTGGCTCTTGGACTCTTGAACTGGAAATAGCTAAATGGAAGCACCTGAGTGTAGGCTGCTGGAGAAAATACATAGTACACCCTGAGTTCTATGTCCAGCATTGTAAAAGTCAGTCAGTGGAGGAAAGAGAGAGAATGCTTTTTTTCAGCATCATAGCTTATGGAATCATAGCTTAAAGTGTTTTCCTCAGTTTTATCTAAATATTGTCCAGTAGTGAAAAGTAACAGCCTGAGATGCTTGATCTTATGGTTGTTCAATATCCATATTTGGGGGCTATACTAATGTGGTCAGGAAGATGAAAGTGGAGGATGGCCAAAGCCCGATAAATTCCCAGGGGATTGTGATAAATTTCTCAACATAATTTGTAATTATTCTCTTTTGCTTGAAGGCAATGGAAATCACACCTGATATTTAAGCAATCTATAGTTTACAATAAAAAGGGTCAATACCCCTGAAAATATTTTTTTTGTGATACCAAGCAAAGCCAGAGTAGAATAAGACCTCTGAGTCTTCTTCATAAAGATGCAAAACTGGCTTAAAAGAAGAAAGTCTACAGGAGCCAGAGGTTCCTCTCAAGCCCAAGATACCCATAAAGACCAGATCCTTTTGTGGTCTTTACTGTGAAAAGTAAAAGGAAAATAATTAATTTTGGCCACATGTATTGCTGTAAATACCCAGAAAAGAAGTATAGCCAATGGAAGGGAACATAGGCATCCTTCTTTAATGGTTCAGAGGCTCCCTGGGTTAACATTCCCTGGGCTATAACCATATGAGATGCTACATATATGCACCTATTTTTCTTCTGTCTAAGAAAAATGCATCTGAGATGATAAGACATTGTCACCCTGACTCAATTTGAAACTGCCATGCCTATATGCAGCCAAGAGAAACAAGCCCACTATTGTTTTAGCCTAAAAGTCAAATGATGATTGCATAGCTTCTTTCTCCCTCTCTAGAAGCTGTATGTGAGGGACCTCACACAATCATTTAACCACTCCAACTGCTATCAAAGTTCTTTTTTTAACTTTTTTTTATTAATTACACTTTATTCATTTTGTATCCCCCCATAAGCTGCTTCCTCCTCCCATTCCGATCCCACCCTCCCTCCCCTTTCTGCATGCATGCCACTCCCCAAGTCCACTGATAGGGGAGGTTCTCCTCTCCTTTTTTCTGATCTTAGTCTATCAGTTCTCATCAAAAGTGGCGGCATTGTCCTCTTCTGTGGCTTGGTAAGGCTGCTCCCCCCTCAGGGGGAGGTGATCAAAGAGCAGGCCAATCAGATTATGTCAGAGGCAGTCCCTCTTCCCATTTCTATGCAACCTACTTGGACACTGAACTGCAATGAGCTACATCTGTGCAGGGGTTCTAGGTTATCTCCATGAATAGTCCTTGGTTGGAGTATTTATGTAAGAAGTGGGAAATAGTAAGAGCTATCCAAGTTCTTGAAAGCAAATACTTGGTTCATCATCCTCAAAACTAGCCATGGTCCAATTGTTTCTGTGTGGGACATTCCTGGGAAAGGTTGTTCTACTCTGACATGGCAGAATAAAAGACAGTTAAGGTACATAGGCAAGAATGGAAATAAAAGGTTGGCTCTCTGATATGGAAATCTTCAGGGTGATCATCACTAACATAGATGCTCTTTTTATCACAATGAAATGATAAAAAAGTACCTACCATGCACAGTCTTGCATGAAACCAAAAAGAATAAAAACATACATGAATGTTTCAATCTGAAGGTGGCTATTTGGTACAGCCAAGAACATACAGTCAAGAACACCATCATCTGTGATAAAAAAAAAAAAAATCTATGTTAGTGATGACCACCCTGAAGAATTCCCAGTTTAGCTCTGTACCCCATTTTTAATTGGATTACTTGGTATGTTGGTGTTTAATTTCTTGAGTTTATTATATATTCTGGATATTAACCCTCTGTCAGATATAAGGGTGGTGAAGATCTTTTCCCAGTCTGTAGGCTGTCATTTTGTTCTATTGACACTGTCCTATGCTTTACATAATCTTTTCAGTTGCATATTGATTTTGGATCTTAGAGCCTGAGCTGTTGGTTTTCTGGTCAGGAAGTTGTCTCCTATGCCAATAAGGTCAAAGCTCTTCCCACTTTTTCTTGCAACAGATTAAATGTTGCAATGTGTCTTGCTTTATGTTGAGGTGTTTGATCCACTTGGACTTTTCTTTTTTTCAGGGTGATAAGTGTGGGTCTATTTGCATTCTCTATATGTAAATATCCACTTAAACCAGCACCAATTGTTAAAGATGCTATATTTTATCCATTGTGTGGATTTGGCTTATTTTTCAAAAATTAGGTGTCTGTAGGTGTGTGGGTCTATTCCAGGTCTTTGACTTGATTTCATTAATCCAACAGTCTGTTTCTATGCTGGTATCATGCTATTTTTACTGCTGTTGTTCTATAGCATAGTTTGAGATTAAGGATAGAGATACCTCCAGATATTTTTTTTTTATTTTATGTATTTTGTATCCTAGCTGTAGCCTTCTCCATTATTCCGTCCCAATCCCTCTCTCCCTCTTTCATTCCCTCTCATGCCCCTCTCCAAGTCCACTGATAGGGGAGGTCCTTCTCCCATTCCATCTGATCCTAGGTTTCATCAGGACTGGCTGCATTGTCCTCCTTTTTGGTCTGGTAAGGCTGTCCCCCACCCCCTATCACAGGGAAGTTATCAAAGAGTCAGCCACTGAGTTTATGCCAGAGACAGTCCCTGTTCTTCTTACTAGGGAACCCACTTGGATACTGAGCTGCCATGGAATACATCTGATCTGGGGTTCTAGGTTATATCCATGAATGGTCCTTGGTTGGAGTATCAGTCTCAGAAAAGACCCCTGTGCTCAGATTTTGGGTTCTGTTGCTCTCATTGTGACATTCCTGTCTCCTCCAGGTCTTAATATGTCCCCCCTCTTTCATAA